CGTGTCGCACGTTGGTACCAAGCTTGGTACCGCCTGAACTCATGGTTCGTGTGCGACTCATTGTTCTCATCCACGTTGTCGTGCATCTCCTCCCATTGCTCAATGTAGAACTAGTGGTGCTTCTCCTAGTCAAAATCTTTCTGTTCTTCTGACGATCTAACCTGCACGTATGTCATCGTTACTTGAATTCATGTATATGTCACCATATTAATAGAAATGGACCATCACAAGACATTTGAAATAGCAAAACACTTACTTGTGTAAGTCAACGCCAGTCGAGAACGGAGCCGTTGGCCAAAGTTGTCTCACACCAAATTAGCGTGCAACTCTATTTGGTAGGTGGAACTCGATAGCATAGAAACAGATTAGAGGGCACCTCATCCTATAGAAGTCGTCGTCGAACCCACACATGTTGCTCAAATGAAAAGAAAGTGCCCCCTCTCCATCGTACGAAAGAATGAAAGAAATGGATGTAAGGAAGGGGGTAAGCTCCCAATAACCATGCGATTAAGACACTTACTCGGATGATTCTATGTCAAAGGGATCTCATGAGGAGGACTTGCCACAACAACATGAGTCTAACAAGCATCTCCAACTACCTCATTGGGGGTAGATTGAGCATCGGGAACCATAGGTGCAACCTCCACATCCATATCAGGTTTCGGGACCGGAGGGTCGAAGTGTGCCTGTTGACCCATTGGTGGGGAAACCTTATGAGGGATGGGATCAACTAACACCCGACGCACAACCACGTCCAAACATTGCAGCTGATTCTTCATTGCCTATCTCACATAGTTCTCCCATTGATCCGCACATCCAATTGGGATCATTCGCCTAAGAATGTTGGGAGGAGAACCTAGGTGCAGTACACCCTCAACTGCAATGCCATCATCATCATCGCCAAGGCAATGCAGCTCCTCCTAAGCCCTTGCAACCATCTCACTAAACGATGGCTTCTCATTGAATAGCACATGCACGCTTTGCATGTCAACAAACTCAACATATCCATAGCGATCGCTTTTAACGGTGCCTCCATGATAAATGGTCACTAGGTTGTCCATCTATTTTAAACACGTAACGAAACACATGTCCTTTAGTCCAAATTATACGACAGATAGTACCTAACAAGTACTTTCTAACTACAAACTAAGTAAATAAGATAATAACTACATACATAGATACAGTGTACTCACTAAATAGCTAGATCCTATTTAGTTAACTAAATATATAACTACCTATCTAAGTAGCTATCTAACTATATCTATGTACCTATGTATCTATGTTTCTATCTATCTACATATCTATCTCACTAGATCACTAACTAAATCAACTACCTGAGTCATCAAATTAACTAGTAAATACCAAATGCCAAAACTACTACACTACAATCAAAGCTAACTAAGTATGCACATTGCAAATTCACAATTTTTACCTGTCCGATGATAGAGTCGTGGACGTCGGCGAGTCACAGCCGGACGCCTTGACGCCAGGGTGGTCAGTCGATGAGCTGCCAGGGCAGCGGCATGGCCGGGCGCAGTGCTGCAGTCTGCCGGGCTGGCGAGAGGGCTGCGGGATGGATGGTGAGGGATGCTCAACGCTCCAGCGTGGGTGACCAAGGCAAGCGGCGACGGCCGGCGGCAAGGGCTGCGCGGCAGCATGGCGCGGGCATGTGTGTGTGGCCTGGCATGGCACAGTGTGGCACGGCACGCAAGCGGCGGCTGGGCGCGGCCAAGACGCAGCATGTGGCGTGGCCAACGGCATGGCCATGGCGTGGCGTCACGGCAGCGCGTGGCGGCGAGGGCATTGGGCGCGGTCGGTGCGCAACGCAGCAGGCGGGCGCAATGGAGGGCGTGATGGCGGCGGTGGCGATGGCGCGGGCATGGGGCGGGGGCAGGCGAGGCGAGGGCGGGGGAGAGGGAGAGGGCGTGGGCGGCTGCGGTGGTGCGTTGCTCGGGTGAGGCGAGGGAGGTGCGAGAGAGAGGGAGAGGAAGAGAGAAAGGATTGTGACCCATACGTAAGACAGGCTGGGTGCCAGTAACCCTGGCGCCGAGCTCGGCGCCAAGATCTACAGAGCCGAGCTTGGCGCCAGGGTTACTGGCGCCGAGCTACCTGCCAAGTCACCGCCACGTCTGCTTCGAGCCCAAGAGCTCGGCGCCAGCAGACGTGTAAGCTCGGCGTCAGCAATGATGATGCTGAGCTAAGGGAACAGATTTTGAAATCTTACCTCTAGAGACATATTTGTGAAATTTTTTCAAAAAAGGGCTAAAAAAATAAAAAAATCGGCCAGGGGCGCACGGCTTCGGTTCGGACTAGGAGTGCGGAATCCGCGGCCTCTGCGTGGCTCGATGTGCGTGTGCTTCTAGACTATCACGGGTAGCGGGTCCGCACCGCGTACGCGGGTTTGAGGAGCTAGCGTGGTGCGGGCGCGTGGTGCCTGGTCTTTGGACCTAGGCTGACCGCTACCTCGGACCATCTTTGGCTCGGAGTCCGGCATGGCGGCGTAGTGCGTGTGGTAGAGCTAGATCGCGTGGCTTGGCAGCCGGACCCAGGCGAGCGGGGATTTCGGACCGCCGCCGCTGCGTCCGGTTTGGAGCGAGGGAAAGCAGGGTGCGAGCGGCGGCTTCAGACCCACGGTGGCTGCGGCCTCAGACCGATGGTGGTGCGGGTCGGATGTGGAGGCTTGCGCTGCGTGTGGAAGTAAAGGGACGCGCGGCAGCTCGCGGTTGGCATGGATTGAGTTCGGACCCTGGAGAGTTGGTCCGGATGCCGGGTCCAGACCCAATCCGGAGGGTTTTCCCCTCTCTAGGAGCTCTTTGTGTACGTCCGGACCCTGAAGGGAGTTGGTCCGGATCTAGGGTCCGGTTCCATGGTCCAGTTCCACGCAGACAACACGACAAATAGTGACCGTTGGGATCTAATGGGCGCATTTGAACATGGGGGACACGTGGCGTGATCCGGGGGTCCGGACCTTCACTGTAGATGGTCCAAAACCTAGGTCTAGACCTTGGGTCCGGACCTCCCCGAGGGCATAACGGCTATAACTTTTCGGGGGCTCTATAAATAGAGCTTGGGCGTGTTTGGCTCACTCTCTTGGTCATTCTTACATGTGATAGCATCCTTTGAGCTGAGCAAACACCCTCCCACTCATCTCTAGTGCAAATCAAAGTGAAATTGAGTGATTCTAAATGTATTTGCTTGAGTGATTGCATCTAGTGGCAGTTGGGGATCGATTTGCTACGATTTTCTTGTTACTCTTAGCGTTTATCGATGCCTAGATGGCTTGGAGCAGTGGAGGAGTTGTGGCAAGAGTTGGTGATTGTTCTTAGCCACCTCCCGGTGATTTGTGAGGGGTTCTTGTGCCTTCCCCGGCAGAGCGCTAAAGCCAACTCTAGTAGATTGCTCGTAGCTTGTGGATCCCCATCTTGTGTTGGTTGTGTGGCACCCGATTACGGGTTAGGCGTGTGATGCATATTAGCGCATGAACCTCCAAGTGGGTGAATTGCTACAACGAGAACATAGCTTGCCGGTAAGCAAGTGAACCTCGAGGATAAATCGTTGTGTTATCATTGTCTCCGGAATTCTCATTGTGATTGATTGATTGTCTCTTGCCACGACGGTATAACATTCACTACCTTTCTTGTATTTACTTTTCTAGTGTAGTTAAGCTCTTTAGTGTAACTAGTTTTGAGAGTTAGCTTGTGTCTTGTAAGTAGTTAGTGAGGTTTTTTAGTTAGTCTTTGAGAGCTCACTAACTTAGAGAGTAGTGACTTAGCCTCTTATGTGAATTATAGATCATAGCTACTAGAATTGTGGATAGGTGGGTTGCATTTTTAGTAGGCTAGCGCAACACTCGCTTCACCACTTAATTATCTAACCACTTGGCTTAATTGTTGTTGTAGAAATTTTTATAGGCTATTCACACCCCTCTAGCTATTTTGGACCTTTCACCCCTTCAAGATCCAGAGCCCACAAGAACCAGAGCCCAAGGAGATGGAAGCAGAAATGGGTGGTTAGCCTTGTCTGGTCCTCCTCCAGTTCTTCCTCTTTCTCCCTCCCCGGGCTCTCTCATTTTGCTGATTTTTTGGTGTGGCGTCGAGGACGCCCAATTTTTTTTTCAGTGCCTGGACGCCTAGATGATGACTTAAAAACCATGGGCGTCCCTTTCCATGTTGTCTGTATAGTGCAATTATCAAGTTTCGGCACGTAGCGGACGATCTGAGGAAGACAACCAAGTCTGTCTTTGATATACTCTTATTTTTAGAGACCATTTGGTGTTTTTTGTCCTTTTGTAATGGCTAATGTTTTTCTTGATAAATGTATATGAAGTTTCAGGATATAGCTATTCAATTGCACAATCTATCTAAAGATGAATAGGCCCTTTGTGTATCACCTACCTCAGCAGTGACACTCATACACTTGTGATCGATCCATGGTTATCTAACATCACATATAAAAATTGTCAAGGATGTAAGTGAAGCAGGTAGAGACATCTCATCACAATTTTGCTAGGAGGTTGCACATGATTTGTTACTTCTTATGCTTAGGAATTAAATTAGATCTTACTAGCGAATATGCTCGTGTGATGCAGCAGAACATAGAACGTGCAGCTTGAAGATTTATGCAATGTTCGTGTCATATGTTCTAATACATCTTGAAATCAAACCACCATGGCAACATGCATGCTGTTTTAACTCATATGAGCATGGGTTGTGAGTCAGGATCACAAACATGATAGAGGTGGCATTGTGGGAAGTAAAATATGGCAGCATGAAGAATCCTTTCTCTGAGGTATAAAGACTTGAAACAGGTATGTCATATGAAATCATCTTTATCCAAGGGAAAGGACCAGAGTCTGGACCCTGACCAAGACTTTTGCACAGCTTACAGGAGGCTATAAACCGCACACAGAACAGTTGCATCTTGCATGTATGATGTATACATAATATTGCATTAATCAGTAGCAGAATGAACCACTCTTGCTTTGGTCAATGGACACCCAATCATTTGTTGATGTCCTGGAACAGCTCTGGCAGATGCCCATTCGTAAGCCTGCTCCGTCTTGTGATCTTAAGATCTTTCTTCTTGGGTTTAGACTTGGATTTTACCCCGTCGATCTGGGCAGCTGCACGTCGTTTCGCAGTGTTTGTCATGGGCTTGATTCCATTCTTCTGAAGCTCCTTTTCTACGTCCACCATGTCACGTGGTAACTCAGTCTCCCGGAAGAGAAGTTTCAGGTCATCATCAACCTTGGTCTTCGTTTTAGGATCATTAGGGTACACAATGTCCTCCTGTGAGTCCATGTTTGATAACAGCCAAACTTCACCTGCTGCCTTCAGTGCCTACAGCATGGCAGTACTCAAGATTAACCATACGTACTTGAATATAAATAGTAGAATAAGCTTGGTCACTTATAGTTCTATTATGCTAATGGACACTGCAACTAGAGAGAACACACACAAAAAGGGCCAACTATATCATGGGACTCATTAAGCAGTACCAATTTGAACAGAAAATATATAGGCTGACAAAAAGATAAACTCAAGTACACATTGCAGTATACCTTTGTGTGTTATACAGTATGTAGAGCTAACTAACTTGGACATATTCTTTAGCATTTTTGTTATTAAATAATTGGGTACATTTTAGAACAGTGTAAGCATCACGTGATGTTTAACGTAACATGTTAAAGTCTCAGATCATGAGAATTAGCATCACCTGCAGATCTTCCATTACAGTTGGGTATGCATCCTTGATTTCCATGACAGCAAGACCCTCTGCGAATTTTCTTATCAGAACAAGTAGTTGATCTTTTCCCTTAAGATCATGCTTGGACTGCACATATGCCAACAGTGAATTAACACATAAGACATCAGAAATCAGAATAGTTAACTGCAACAAGAAGACAAAACAATGAAGGCCGTTAGAATAAGCACACAACTACTGTAATGATCAGGAAATCCTTATCTACTTTTTCCTTAGAACAGCATTCCAATGCATTTTAATCGTTAAAAGTTTATTGACCATGAAAGCTATAGTTTACCACAGTATGATACACAACTATCATGAACCACCAAATTATGACAACTGAAAGAAAACTGAGTTGAGAGGAAGATAAATGACCGGCACAAGCAATGAAGTCATAACGTATGAAAATCCAAAATTTCCAGGTTAGTAAAGTAAAGGAATGCGTATTAGATACTACTTAAGCAGCTGATGTTACCAGAGAATGCCAAGTGAATCATTCACACATTTCACTGACAAATTTCCATGCTAATATTAGCAGTTCAAGTCAATTATGAACAACTACAGAGTAATAATTCCTTTACCTTGTAAGAAAAACGTCTCCCATCATACTGTACTTTGGGGTTGTTCCTCAAGCTGTCAGAGACCGCCTTGTTACCATCAATATCGACATAAGTTGCTTCATTTATTTGCTCTGCAGTAAAAGCTTGTCTTGTCTGGAGACGCAAAAGAAATAATAATATCAATTCATGAACTAGATGCAGCATTGTAATCTATAATGAAAGTTTTATGTGATACTTACTGTGCTGTCCCTTATGAAGATATAAGAAACTTCTACAATGATTGCTTAAATGAAGAAAAATGGGCCAGAACAGAAAATCATCATAGGAGTTTTTCATATTTTTAAAGTATCTAATTCTACTCAGTGAAATGGTTCAAATATTTGATAACTGATATGTAGCATCCACATATGACAACCAGAATAGCCATTTCACTTTGGCCAGATAACAACTCAGTGTACTACCCCAGCCTGTCGTTGATCTATCCTTGACATTCTGTTTATCATGGGCTAGCACACATAAGGTACAACATAGCAAGACTGAGAGTCTTACATGTGAGGGAAGGCATTCAGACAGTACCACAAATTGGGAAGGGGGTGGCACATGGTACAAATAAGTGTTCTATAAGCTGAAAACTTAGAAATAGGATATCCACTGAGCCAGGGCTTCTATAAACAATGATAGTTCAACACTTCAACGATTTAGTACTAGTGTGTACAGATAAGTGTTGATTTCCAAAATCAGGTCATTTTTTTAGGCCAGAGAAGAAATCATTCCCTGACAACATTACACACTAGTACTAAAAAGAAAATACAGGAGGGTTGTAGCTTAATAAAGAGTACCTTGTAAAGCAGTTCGATGACAAGTTTCATCTGTGCTCCAACAGGAGATTTCCTAATCGAATTAATATGCTGAAGCCTTTCAGTATCATTTGAAAATTTAATAGATTGTGATGATCTTGCAGGAACAGATGGGGCATTTATTGGTTGGGCTCTGTGCTTTGGCTTCGAAACCGAAGCTTGATTTGCAGCTATGCTAGTCAAAGATGACTGGCACCTCTCCTGCTGTTGCTTGAATCTGGAGAGGCTATCCTTGAGGTCCATCTAGAGAAAGAAATTTTATGTAAGTGATCGATTGCCACACAAACAAAAAAGTGAACACCAGAAAAAGAACTGGAGCTGCAGCATACTGTGGACATGTGGACGAAACTAACACTGTCAAAGACACTAATAGGGTGTTTGGTTTGATGAATGAGTTAGTCTATCATAGTATCATCTTCTCATTCCCCACTTTTTTTGTTTGGTTTGTGAAATGGAATGGATTGATGCATCATCATCTCATTCCTCACAAGCTAATAATTAGTACTAGTGCGATGAATAGAGTTATTCCACCAAATTTTAGGAATAGGCTAACCTCATCTAGAATGGTTTGATTTTTGTGCAAATGCATTTCATTGTACGGATGGAAACAATCAGGTTTATACTTCCCAGGAATAAGATGGATCAGTATAGCATCATCCCTTCAAAGACCAATTGTGTGAAATCTACAAATATGACAAAATGCCTTACGACAGCTGAAAATTTTAAAATCTCAATTGTCTAAATCGAAGTCCAAAAAATGTGATTCATTTCTGTTGTCGATCATGATAGTATCAAGAACCCACAAACTTCATACGTATAAACAAAAGCAGGTACCAGCTAGCTTAACTAGAATCCAAGGCACTTCAAACAGCTCCTTACAGTCAGGTAGTTGGATAATAATCTAGGCCAATATGTTCCATCTCGCGCAAATTCAGGCCCCCACCAACCCCTGCCCCCCACCCCCCACACACAGAAATTGAGCACTTTGTGGCCATCAAAAATCAAAATGGCGCAGGTGCAGTGCAAGCCGCCTGAAGCGCATCAATCATCTGGAGAAATCGGGGCAATTGCTTGAGTAATTACGTCCTCAGACCAGACCAGATCGGATCCAACGAAACCCAAAGGAACCCGGGCAAACGCGGTAGATCATGACCCTAACTGGACCGACCTCTCTCCGTCCTGATCCCCCGTGCGGGAGGGCGGAGCGAGGAGATCGGCGGCGGAGATGGAGGTGGCGTGCGTGAGCCAGCGGGTTCAGCGCGCTAGCGCATGGCGGCAAAACCTTGATCGATCGGGCCGACCGGCCCCACAACTCCCACCAAATCGCACACGTAACATCGCCGCGATCGAACTCACCGGATCGCGGCCGATGCCACCGGATTTAGTCCGATCGGAAGGGTTCCCTGCTTTCGCGTCGGCGGCGGTGGATACGCGCGATCGGTGGAAAGGAAACGCCGGCAGGGCGTGGGGGCTAGAGTTCGTCAGCCTCCGCGACCTTCAATTTCCTTTTTAATGATACTACAACCAGAACTCAGTCACAGCAGCTCGCGCGGAACGCGGCCTGGACTTCAGATGTGCGCCGAATACGGACTACCGCTAAATATATATATACCACGTCGTCACGTATACGCCCGGACGTCCGTTCCGAAACGCTAGGACGTTGCCACAGGTCCATAACAGAATAGGGAGGAAATTAATTTAAAAATAAAATCAGCAGTAATGACAACCTATTGCTGATCCATGAACGTGCTCCGAGCGAATCACAGCAACATTTCGCGCGTCCGCATGCACACAGCAGCAGGACTGGCAGGCGTCACGGTCACGCGCCTGCATGCACAGGCGGCGCGGTCATGCACGCATGGATGCAGCAGCAGCAGCACCAGCAGGCGCGTGCGGTCACCCACGGCGGCACGGTGACCTACGCAGTAGCAGCTTACTTTTGAAATATAGGATGACCCACGCAGCAACAGCACCACGCTATTGCAACATGTGCTCCTCCGAGATCTGTTTTTGAAATATCCAAATAAAACATTTGCAATATATATTTGAAACAAATGAAACATACGTGTATAGCTATAGCAACATATGCAACATTCAGATATACTTTTGCAACGTTCATATAAAATACTAGTAATATAAGTCTGAAACATCCGAAACACTCAAAACATATGCTTAAAACATACGTATATAGCCATAGTAACACATGCAACATCTAGACGAAACACTTGAAACATACGTCTGAAACATCTTAAAACACTCGAAACATACGTGTATAGCCATAACAACATATGCAACATTCAGATAAAACACATGAAACACTTGAAATATAAGCTTGCAACATGCGTATATTGTCAATGCAACATATGCAACATCCCCGATCCACTTTTGCAACATCCAAACAAAACTATTAAAACACAAGTCTGAAACGTCTGAAACACTTGAAACACGGCGTCGCTAGTGGCAACGGCATACATCGTGGGGATCCACGGTAGCCAGTAAGCTCGGGTTAGGGGGACATCGAGAGCAACGACCCTGTGTACACCCAGACACAGGCGCAGCCTCGCAGGCCTCCCCTTTCGTGACTCGCGAGGTGGATGGGAGTGCAACACATGAACAAAATGGGGAGAAAGGAGCAGAGGATGGACGATGCCTTTGTGAAGCGCGTGCAGGAAGACGGGGAGGGAGAGAGAGGGAAGGGGGCGACGGAGCCTAAAAATATCTTGCATCCAGAGTGTTCTCGAGCAGACAGAAAAGCCCACCAACCTGTCGTGTTGTCCCGTGAGCGGTGCAGGTGCGTCTGAGATATTTTGGACGGACAGACGTCCTCACCACAATATTACCGATAAAATATGTACCAATGACTACTATACTAGGGAAAATTCCCCATGAATATTTTAATCCCAATGGTAGTATGCATAATTGGAGTACAGTCCCAAGTTGCTCTTACTTAACTTTGTCGATTGATTGCTAGACTTGGTGTTCATGTTTGTATGGGTGAAACTGAGGCATTTGAAGAGTACATTAAAATTGCTCATAACCCTAGATTTGTTTCTGTCTCTAGGCAAACCACCACTAGAGACTTTGTGAATTACTTCAATGGTTATCGTGCTAAGCTTGTTGAGTCTTTCAGTTGAGTTGGTATTACCCGTGTTTGTATTACTTTTGACATTTGGTCTAGTAATACCAAGGAGGACTATCTTAGTGTTGTTGGCTTGTTGCTCACTACATTAACTCTAATTAGCAACTAGAGAAGAAGGTGACGGGTCTTAGGCTTATTGATGAGAGTCTGACAGTGGACTGTTCTAGCTGTCTATGGTTTGTCTGAAAAAGTGTTTTCTATTACTTTAGAAAATGCATCAGCCATGGATAAACTTAACCTATACTGTCTAGATACCTTGATGTTGGTCAGTTGTTTTTGCATCAGCGTTGTGCTTGTCACCTTATCAATATTATCATTAAGGAAGACCTACATGATGTTAAGCCTTTGATTGAAACATTTAGGACTGCCATGTCTTTCTTAAATTCTTCTGACCAAAGAATTGTTGCATATAAGAGTTACTACATATATTGCATATTGGTGTCGTAGTTTGCCACGTTGAAAGGTCCTAATGACTAGAGGGGGGGTGAATAGCCTATTAAAAAATCTATAACAACACTAAGCCAAGTGGTTAGATAAATATGAGGCGAAACGAATGTTGCGCTAGCCTACTAAAAATGCAAGCCACCTACCAACAATTTTAGTCAATTATGATCACTAAGCACCCAAGGGCTATGTCGCTATTCTCCACACTTGTTGAGCTAGCTAGGAACTAATTACAACCAAGAAGCTAAGCTACACAACTAGCTATAACTACCACAAGCTCTACACAAGGTAAATACAAAGTAATGCAAGAGAGTGGTTGAGGAGATATAGCGCCATGGCAAGTGATCAACCAAAGAATACCAAGGAGACAAATGATGATACAATCAATTTTTCCTCCGAGGTTCACTTGCTTGCCGGCAAGCTAGTCCCCATTGTGGTGATTCAATCACTTGGAGGTTCATGCGCTAATAGGCATCACACACCTAACCCGCAACCGGGTGCCACACACCCAACAGAAGATGAGGATCCACAAGTCACGCGCAATCCACTAGAGTTGCCTTTGGCGCTCCGCCAGGGAAGGCACAAGAACCCCTCACAATCACAATGATCGGAGCCGGAGACAATCAACTTCCTCAGCTCAACGATCCAACAATCACTGGGCTATCTAGGTGTCGTCAAACACCAAGAGTAACAAGATCTCCACTAGCCCAAATCGCCCAACTAGTGCCACAAGATGCTAGAACACTAAACAATGCACTAGAGGCTCTCCAATCTCACTCAAGATGATGAAATCAAGTGTGAAAGTGAGTGGAGTGGTGTGCTCAGCTCCCAAAGGGTGTATGCAGGTGTGGGAAGTGCAAAGAGAGTGGCCAAGGCCGGCCACCACCTCTATTTATAAGCCCACAAGCAAATAGAGCCATTACCCCTTGGAGCCACTTTCTATGAGGGCACCGGACATGTCGGTGTGGCACCGGACATGGGGTGGCGGTGCCCCTCCAATGGTCATCCAACGGGCACCGGACAGGGTGGCGGTGGCACCGCCCTAGGGGTGGCGGTGACCACCCGGCTAGCCCCCCTAAAACCCAAGCCTCTGGAAAAAATAGCGGTGCACCGCCCTAGGGCGGCGGTGACCGTGGCAGTGACCAACCCGGATTACCCCACTCTTTGGATAAAAGGGGCGGTGGCACCACCCCACCTATGGCGGTGATCAGGTGGTGCATGGCCCTGGCCAAGGCGGTGTACACCGGCCACGCCGGTGACCGCGCCCACGCTACTTTTCTCGGCCGAGTCCAAGTAGGCACCGCCCTAGGCGTGGCGGTGCCACCAGACAGGGTGGCAGTGCTAGCCCAACTTCTCCTCCTCGGCCTTGCCCAGCCGGTCACCGCCACAGGGGTGGCGGTGCACCGGACAGGGGGTGGCGGTGCCCCCAGGGCAGTACCCTAAGCCTAGCTTCGCCTCCTTTTCTTTGCCTTTTTACCACCTTTGCAAATGTGCTAACACTCCAAGTGTTTCACCATCACGTGCGAGTGTCTTAGCATTTTCACAATCATTTTCCAAAGGTTAATCACTTCTCACCGATTGTGCACTAGGCCTAAAATGCATATGTAAGTTTTCCAACACCTAGTGGCACTAGATGATCAAGATGTTCGATAAGAGCTCC